TGCTGGATCCAGTGAAACTACTGTACTACTGACACATATTTAATTTGCATTGTAGATTGAAGTTGTAATATTTTATCTTTGCTGATGGCACACTTCATTTTTTTTTGATCAGTGTTTATAAAACACGTTTATAGGCATCTATTGAGATCTTAATAGGATTGTTCTCAAAAACTGTGATTCATTTAATGGAAAAGGATTAAATTTCCTTCAACATTATTGCCTCCCTCTCTAGCAGGATTAATTGATATACTTGAAAAAATGGGGGGTTGTCCTGGGTTCAGCAGTAGCAGTCATTTTTCTCTTTCTTGGTAGCTGGTGCAGGGCTGTGTTTTGACTTTCAGCTGGGAACAGAGCTGAAAAACAATGATGTTTTGGTTTGGCCAAGGACTCTGTGGGCCTCATGCTCTGCCAGGGAGGAGGGAAGCCAGGAGGAATCAGGGACAGGACACCTGACCCAAACTGACCAAAGAGGTATTCCATACCATAGCACGTCATGCCCAGGATGTAACTGGGAGTGAGCCGGAAGGGCAGAGTGGACTGCAGGGTTGGAGGAGGTATCGGTCGGTGCTTGGTCGGGCTGGGGGGGGGCGAGTTATCGGTCACCTGGTGATGGGGTGTTGTATTCTCTTCCCTTGTTATTTCCTTTATCATTACTATTATTGGTGGTAGCAGTAGTGATTTGTGTTATACCTTAGTTACTAAACTGTTCTTATCTCAACCCGTGGGAGTTGCATTCTTTCTGATTCTCCTCTCTGTCCCTCCAGGAGTAAGGGGAGGGCAAGAAACGAGGGGGAGTGGGTAACAAGCTGTCTGGCTGTGGGTTAAACCATGACAGTTCTTTTTGGCGCCCAACGTGGGGCACGAGGGGTTGAGATAATGACAGATCTGACCGTCACAATGATGATTTATTGGATCTCAGAGCTTCAGAATGTTGTAACTTACTTAGAGCCGGTATTTGCTGTGTTAGTGTTTATCAAGTGTGGGGCTTGGGCTAAGGTTCTTGTCTCACTGTACTTTATGGCAATGACTTGTAATACGGGTGGGCTCCAGCAGCAGGGCGGGACGGACGTGGCCGTGGACTGGTCCCTGGCCGTCCGGCTGCTCCTCACCGTCCTGGCCCTCGCCCTCGCCTCCGTCTGCGTGAGGCTCTGGGAAGCCGAGGGGGGGCGGCCCCGGGAGCCGGCGGCTGCTGAAGCGGCCCGGGAGAGCGGCCCCGGGGACCAAGCGGGAGCGGGACCGGAGGCCGCAAGGGGACGGCTGCCGGTGGAGGAGGTCGGGGCGGTCGAGGAGCGGGAGGAGGCGGCTGCCGAGCAGCGGGAGAAGGCGGCGGAGGAGCCGAGCCCCGCGGAGGAGCCGAGCCCCGCGGCCGAGCCCAGCCCCGCGACGGCCGAGAGCATTCCCCGGAAGCCGCCCGCCGAGCCCCAGGAGGACGCAGGAGACCCCGCAGCATTTCCCAGCAAGGCAGAGGAGGAAGAGCTGGACTCAGGAAAAGAGAAGCTGGTGGTGGGAGAGCCGGCAAGCACAGCAGCTGCACCAGCCCCAGTGACAAGTACAGCAGCATCGTTTGAGAGTTCTGGAGGTTTTGAATGGCCTTTGGGTAACCTTGGGACCTGCCTGCTGATTGTGATGGGGATCAGCATGTTGGCACACATGCAGAGTGTGTTTTACCCACCACCATTGTGTCTGATCCCAAAATTTAAGCAGAGTCGGGTTTGGGTCTTGTCTGGGGTTAGACAACAATATGGGAGGACCAAGAGGTTTTCCCCAAGGCTGGACAGCCATGAGTGGCAGGGCATGTGGGACAGTATGGGCAAGTATCTAGTCCACTGGGCCCCTCCAGTGCTTTGGAAACATTGGAGATGGAAGGACAACGAATTATTTTGAACCTGATGGGACCATGACCCTTAAGGCCAACAGAGCAGAGATGCAACATCGAGATGGACTCATGATCAAGGGGTGGACCTAACAATGGACACTACTGCCCAGGTTATTCATGTGTGTGAACACTGCACACAGCCTCTCCTGCTCTGAAAGACTGTTACAAGAGATGGAGCCTGGCATCATGGACCAGATGGACTCAGCAGCTTTATAGGGACTGGGCCATGCACTACGATGAGAGTGCACTTAGATAAGAGTGAGGGTATATTGAAAATGTGGGATCTGAGCATGACGTGAATGGTATGGAATAAGGGGTGGATAATGTCCTGGGTTTAGCAGTGGCAGTCATTTTTCTCTTTCTTGGTAGCTGGTGCAGTGCTGTGTTTTGACTTTCAGCTGGGAACAGAGCTGAAAAGCAATGATGTTTTGGTTTGGCCAAGGACTCTGTGGGCCTCATGCTCTGCCAGGGAGGAGGGAAGCCAGGAGGAATCAGGGACAGGACACTTGACCCAAACTGACCAAAGAGGTATTCCATACCATAGCACGTCATGCCCAGGATGTAACTGGGAGTGAGCCGGAAGGGCAGAGTGGACTGCAGGGTTGGAGGAGGTATCGGTCGGTGCTTGGTCGGGCTGGGGGGGGGCGAGTTATCGGTCACCTGGTGATGGGGTGTTGTATTCTTTTTCCTTGTTATTTCCTTTATCATTACTATTATTGGTGGTAGCAGTAGTGATTTGTGTTATACCTTAGTTACTAAACTGTTCTTATCTCAACCCGTGGGAGTTGCATTCTTTCTGATTCTCCTCTCTGTCCCTCCAGGAGTAAGGGGAGGGCAAGAAACGGGGGGGAGTGGGTAACAAGCTGTCTGGCTGTGGGTCAAACCATGACAGGGGTGGAGAGGATGTGCCTGATGTTGGTTTATGTTTTAAGTGTGCTCAAACCAAGACAGAAATCCCATCTACTGAGAATACTGAATCCCACAGTATCATTTTAAAAAACATACTTCTGGTAACTGATCTATCTTTGAGTGGTATACAGTGTGATGAAATCTGTAAGTAATTGTTTAATACAGGTATTGGACTGAAGGTCAACATCCCACAGGAAAGTGACTACCTTGTTTCTTGCATCATTTCAGATTAACCCTAGCCTGTAAATTCAAGAACAAATAGCTGAGATAAGTACTGCCTTGGCCAGGAAAAGGACTTAATAAACTTGCAGATCTCTACTGCACTTAACTTTTAGGATTTTAAAGAAAGTGGACCCTCTGTAACTAAGGGCTCAGCACTGCCAGAACTCAGGATGGACTGAATCAAATAAGAGATTTGTTTTGCCTTTGCTTGTTCCTTTTTGTAATCAGCAACCTGAATTTTCAGATCTTAGGTTATCTGAATGCAACCAAAATGTATGTTTCTAATACCTACACTTGCAACAATACTGTGCATAAATGGACTGACAGAGGAAAAAAAACTAAGGATACACTACTTCAATAACGTTATTCCTTATATAATAAAAAAGACACCAGAGTGAAACAAGCATGCAGAGATGTCACTAAAGGGTCACAGTTGAGGTACTCTGACCTGGACTGCAGTGTCCTACTCTGAAGGACCTTGATCAGCTCTTTCACTAGCAGGACATTCCCTTTTATGTGTGAATGACTGTGAATTGTATGGCTATGCTGATGTACCACACGGGGAAATCTTTAAAATTCCAAACTATTTCACCTAACTAAACAATCCAGGGAGACAGATTTATTTTTTTTTTTTTTTCAAAATCAGGGCTCAATTTCTGATTTGATGAGCAGTAATTTACTAATAAAATGCTAGCAGAGAGAGGAAGATAAGTGGGATTTGTATTTCATCTGTGCCATCAACAAATGCACTGGCTAAAATCAAGTTTCAAAAACTTAGTGGTGCAGGCAGAAACAATCTATGCTGAATTTTTGAAGTTCAGGTACGTCCTACAAGAGTCAGGTTCGCTGTTTCATTGTAACATTGAAATGATAGAATTGTAGTTAAAACAGGTTTGAGATGAAGTCTCAGAAGGATCAGGCTAGGAAAGGGCTGTTACTTTTATCTTCTGGATTTTGAAAAGTTAGGAAGTTAATCTGTCTTTCAACCCATTCTTCCCTATCTGGGAAATACAATAAAATATTGAATGAGGTCTATTTTCACTTTGGAGAATGGAAAAGAGGAACAAATTCTTTCTACACTCACAACACCAAATCAATAAACCAATACACAAAACTAGTTATCTTTTGAAAACTATTCTATCACGTGTACATAATGATCTTCTAAGGACTTGTCTGCTGTCAGAGAAACTTCATTATTAGCATTAGATTTGCCAGTTGACCGATGCTGATAGACACACATGGGAAAGTACTAAAAAAGGGTTCTTTCTCCTCTTACTCATAGACCTGGAAAAGAGATGATGTTGGATGCGTGATCAGGTAATTACAGAGCCTTTGGACATGGACAACTACACAAAATGTACATGGACATAGTTGAATAGTTTTGTTTCCCTCTTCCCTTTCCCATCTTTAAAAAAAGTCTCCTTTTTTTCCTTAAACTTCTGTATTTCTCTCCTTTTTGATGTCACACCATTCTTAAATGGAAATTTTGTTCCTGAACAAGCACGTACAGAAGAGCTTCAAGAAAAAAAAGCAGCCCTAGTTTCAGACCAGAAATTCCCTCACCATACAATATAAAGATAAAAATATGATTCATGGGTTACAAAATTCATCCCGGTAATTTCATGGGTAGTTGCAATTTCATCCTCTGAAGAGGTCCTATAACTTGTTGAACAGCTATGAGAAACTTGGCCCCACAGAAATATCACCGTTATATTGACCATTATATCTAAAGTCTGTCATGTAATACATTGCTGCTGTGACTTCTGTAAACTCAATTTCCCCTTCCTAAATTCCCGCTTCTCTTAAAATTACATTTTGTCAAAGTAATATAATTATTTTCTGTTATTCTTTTCCACAGATTATTCCTTTTTTGCATGCTATATAATTGAAAAGAAAAATTACAGTACCAGACACTTCCTAAATTGGCATGGCTTTCTGCTCTGATTATATCAGAAATTTAAAAAAAAATGAGAGATTTATTTACCTGACAGAACAGTTTCTATTACCTTTTCCCAAATGCCATCTGGGTAAGTTATGACGAAGCAAAAGTAAATACCAACATTCTGCAAAGTGCTGTTGATGAAGGATAAGGACTTGTCTTCGCTGGAAGCATTTTCAAAGGAAATTCTGCCACTGTATTTGTCTTCAATATGTATACCATAGATTGGATGAAAGACAAATATATATTCTTTATGAGTTACAGTAAGTTTCATCCAGGAGGCCTGGATTTTCATGGCTTTTTTTTTTTTTTTATGTATACATTCCAGTTTCCCTTTTGCAGTAAGTTTTACAGTTGAATCCACAAACTTTCTTTCTGCACTGGTTAAAGCACACATAGAAATTCTGTTTCAAAATTAACATAATTGAAAATTGAAATTATAGAACAATTCAGAAACAACTTTGGCGGCACTACAAGACAAATTCTGCAGAAAATTTTCTCTAAAAAAAAAAGCAAACCCTAGAAATCATTATTACTTCTAACTTGTGAATATCATTTGAATAGTTAAAATTTGCTTGAACCGCACAATAACACACTTGTGAGTTGCAATTATATCTGTCATGATGCCATAAAGAAAGGAAAGATGTTAACTAGAAATAAGAAAGCAGCCATACTTCTACAAAGCTGGAGACCAGCAGCAGTCAGAGCTGCATGGTCCATCTCAAGAAACACCGGAATCAGTGATTACAGTGTGACACAGTTTTATGCAATATCTGTGCACCATGTACCCTTCATGTAAAACAGATGGTTTTCTTCTGAAATAAACCAAACATCATACACCTTTCACATTCTAAGAAACACCAGGTTTGAGGTCTCGGTACAGTTGCATCAGAGCGCAGATTCCTATCAAAATCCACCTCAGAGTAAAGTTTTCATTACTAAAGATCCTTTATCATTATGCATGATATGCATGAGTACTATGACAACTGATGAAGCCCAAATCTTCAGGTTTCATCAACAGAAGCAAACAGAATTCTTTCATGCCATGTATCCAAAATCAACAGAATTTCTCAATTTTTCTGACACTGCAGTTAAACATTTATCTATTATTCAGGGAGTATAAAATCTAAAGAGAAGATAAGACAGTTCCTATACATAAGAGGTCATAATTCTGTGACTAGTTATAAAAAGTAGTGTCTTCAGGACTGAGAATTTATTTTTGATAACTTGTCATGAGATAGTATTTTGGGATCAAAATTATGCAGCTCGAAAATTCTTGTTCAAAGGTGTAAGAATCCTGAGTATTCATGACTCATGTTGAAATTTGTCAAAACAAGCCACACTGTTACACTTTGTGTATTTTTCTTAAAAAAAGAAACCTAACTTAAGTCTTATGGAGCTGCTTAAAATTGGAATATGATTGATTTGAGGGTAAAACTAAGCTTGAATCAACTGGTTAAATTTTAAAGTAAAAAAAAAGAAAACAAATTTGAACTAAAGCTGACAACAGAAATGAATATTTGAGGTAATAGTCTGCACAAACTTGAGCAGGACTTAGCATTAGATCTGTTTAAAACATCTTCCACAATGCAACAAAATCTGAGTATATTTATCAGTATTAATCTATGTATGTTTTAGGATAATATAATACTTTTACTGTTTGCAATCATTTCATTGACACTTCCTAGTTAGATCTGTAATTCTCCATTGTTGTGGTTGCACATATTTCTACTCTTACCTTATCAATAAACACAGAATCCACCAAACAGTGAAGTAATAAAAAAACTGGACTCTATATTAGTTTTTAACTCAAAAGGATGTACTACATGAATGAGAGCCTGATGTACCCTCAGAAATATATAAATGCATTAATATTAATGTGTCTTTTGTTAAAATTTAGGAAAAAAAATGTAAAGGTTACTTTCCACAATCTTTTATGCTGACATGATCCTTGTATTGCTGTCATCTAGAACAATTTTCACTAACAGTTCAAGTATCTTATTAGTTTTATTCTTCTGGATGGCCTGTCCTTGGAAGGGAGATCTGAGGTTCAATGTGAAGAGGCAATAACGTTTTTATTCCTCATGGTTTTCCATTTTCACAAGTGACTTACTAATTTTTCTTGTATGAAGTCTCAGAAATGAAGAGAAATTTCCTTAAAATTATTTTTCACCCATTAATATATATAAATTACGATGTTGCTACTCTGAATTTCATGCTTGTTTCTCTCCATCTGGCATTAAAAGAAAAACAGAAGTTAAGAAATTAATGCCCAACCCTACATGATGACTAAGTATCAATGTTAATATGTTAATGTCTAAAGAGGTTTATTTGATGTACAGCAGGCACAGTTACTACAAATGTCAGGGATTCTTGGTCACCTAACCCCAAGAACGGGGTTCCTTGTCATACCTGCTAAAAAAAGCAGCCTGTAACTGGAGTGTTCCTGCATTTCCCTCTAAAGACTGCAATGCAGATTTTCTCTAGACACCCGGGCAACACACCTGCAAGTCACAAATTAGAAAGCTGTAGGCACTGAAGATGTTGACTCTACTGGTATCATTTGGAAAAAGGTGCACACTTAAAGCATCGTATTTTCACAGAGGATGGAACCCATAAAAAGAAAAATATACACCATCTCCAATCTACTGTCCTGGGCTGTGGACCTATAAGAGCAGGTAGTGTAAGGAAAGGTCCATCATGCAGCTCCCTTCTTTCCAGACATTCCTCATACCTCCCTTACCTCTAACCTCTGTTTCTCCCTCCTCCTTGGTACTGAGAGGCTGGAGAATCTGCATATCTCTGATCATCTGTGGATAAGAAACTCACAACAGCAGCAGCAGCTGCACATCTCACTGTCACTCCACCACCTGAGTAGCTCCTTGGGCTCTGCATGTCTGGATCTCTGCCTACCTTTCCCAGCCTCTCCCTACCTTTCTCATCCTGGCTCTTCTTTCCCAGTAACTCCACTTTCTCTCCGTCCTTTGAATTCCAAGGCAAACGAAGGGAAGGCTCAAAAACAAGCTACATGTAACTAATTGTTGGCTAAATGCTAATTACAGTTTGACATGAAAAGCAGCATGGTAGGATTTTTCCGGCTGAATGTACAACTGTAAGATGTGGTTAAAATAAATAGATAAACAAACAAAAAAACTAGAAAGAGGAAGAAACATTGTACAGCAAACACAATGGAGGTCTACAGCTTGGATTTTAATCATGACTTGAACATACATCTTTGGTGACCCTGGTTGAGTCATTTCATTTCCTGGTGCATTAATTTCCCAAACTCCAATACATAGATAATATGTAATGAGTGCCACTGTTTCAAAGCATGTCACAATAATCTCTGTAATGAGGTGGTTTTTTTTAGTGGAAATTCCTATAAAAGTATGAAGAAAAACACATACATACAGAGCCAGCACAATATGTTAATACCTTTTTAATTATTCATTAGTATTTAAGATTTAACAGATAGGTATGTAGCAATACTGCAGAAAGAGTAGAAAATATACTTCCAGATTGCTGTTACCACAAGAACAAAAAAGGCCTTGACTGTGGCAGTGCAGTGAAGCAGGAACAGCTAAAAAGGAGACCACTCCAGGTACCACTTCTTTACATACAAACGTGACTAACTGGAAAAAGATTACGGCAAAAAAAAAAAATCTTTATTTTCAGTGAAGATAAATGGGCTGGGAGGAGGGAGGTTTTAGCTCTTTCGCACTCGGTATGAGCATCCCTGTACATTAACTCTAACCATGCAGAAGCGAGGTTAACCAACCCAAAACAATTCAGTAACAAGCAATATCGTTCTTTTGCATTCTGCGCTTAATATAACAGAAGAAGTAAAGTCCCCAAAATTAGATTCATGCTTGATTCAGTAACATAATGGATAGCATTCTTCAGTATGCATTCATTAACCTCCAAGATGTTAACACCATCTTTCTCTCTAACACATTCTTTCTCTCCTTCAAAGAGAAAGAAAAATGGTGTGAATTCGATACAATTGCATTTTGGGCATATATTGGTAAAGAGGATTCAGAGAGGAAAAAAATAAATCTAAGAGGCTTTCCCAAATCTAGAAAAGAAAATAAAATCTAATCTACATACTCAAGTTTCTCAATAGTTTTTTATTGTTAAACACACTGGCCTCCAAGAGTCTATGTTATATAAATTGTAATTCTATAATGAAATGCTTCAACCCAAAAAAATCAGTCATTGCAAGAGGATATGTATTCAGAAATCTTTAGATAAAGGACTATGTTTCTACATTTCTGGAACTAGAAAACTATTTACATTTTTGGCACTAGATTACTAACTGGATATTCATCCTAACATAACACCTAAGTGGGTCAGGAAGTTAAAGACTGCTAGTGATAAAAAACACAGCTGTAATATGAAGGCAAGATAAGACTAAATGCTGAGATTCAGGAAGGGTATTTTCACAGGTTTTTTTTCAGGGAGATTATTCATGAGTAATGGATGCCGTTGGAATATAGAACGATATGTTTAGTGACAGGGTAAGCCAGTGGTGAGATGTACTAGTGGTATAAAGGTTTGATTTAGACAGCGGAAGAAACACCACTGCTGAAGAAATTTTGAATGCTACAAGCAGTACTGCTGCCACCTGTCAAGTCAAATGTGTTTGGCAGGAGATAACAAGGTTTGTGGGGTTTTTTAAGTTCACTGTTTAAGTAATGTTCTTTCGACGTGTTCATAGCAGGAGAGTCCACCTGTGAAGACTTGCTGAACTTCAGTGAAGTGTGCATGTCTCCCTGTGAGGGCGAAATCCTTAAAGGAGCCATTCAAAGTACTCCTCTGTCCATCTGAATAAAACAAAACTGGAAAACAGAACAAAAAAGTGAACAAAAAAAATATAGAAAATGGAACAAAACAGGTTTTTTGTCTATTTAAACGTTTTTTGTTCAGTGATCTTGGCTTGTAAATGTCTGCCACTTATTAGGTCAAAAAGGTATGAAAAATGTCCTTAAAAATATTTTATAAATTGTTTTACCATTATAGTAAGAAGATAGTACTGGATTTCTATTCAGATTTTGTTGATAATTAATCTATGCATTTTCATCCAGTAATAACAGGGAAGACAGCATTAGAAAACATGAAATAAATTAATTTGTAAATGAAAGTAGTAAATTACATTTGTGCATATAAGAATGTCGTGTATTAATAATGTGTTTGTTTCTTTCAGTTTAGTTCCTGGCTTCCTGTCTCTGATTTTATTAGTTTCCAAAAAGTGATATTATTTGCAGAAACCTCAAAGTTTCATTTTGATAGAAGAAAAATGAAAGCCGAAATGCTTCAAGGTTCTCACACAAATCCATTACTGGGACAGGAAATGGACCTTTCTGTTTCAGAGCACAGTCATTCTCATACACCTATTATTTTTCCTGAATTATCTTTTTCCTGGTCCAACCATACTATTTATGTCCATCATGTTGTTCAAAATAAAAAAAAAAAAAAAAAAAACAAAAAAACACTAAAAGTCAATTTAAGGAAATGAATGTTGCTGAATTTTTTCTTTTGCTGGCAGAGGCATATAGAACTTTTTCTTAAACAATACCTTCAAACACAGCCTGGATGTGAAAGCTTCCTGCAGAGGTGGTTCATTTAAGCTTGAGGCTATCCTTAATTATAGAATCTTGTCAGCTCAGATATGTCTCCAAGAAAAATCTGTAACTTTCATATGGCAAAGAAGCTTATGACTTTCAAAATGGCCTTCAAAATCCAGGGAGAAACACAAGGAGAGAAAACAATGAATTTTTCACATATGACATTTATTAACCTTTTTTGTTGACGCATCCAGGACCTGACACAACCTACCTTTCTAGCA